GGAAGTGCTACATCTTAATTTTTGTTTTTTGTGAGTGTGGCTCTTAATGCTTTGCATTCCTTCCTCCTGGCCTCTTGTCAGAATGGCGTAGTGAGGAGCCCTGGGTAGCGGGCTGCTAACCGAAGGTTGGCAGTTCAGACCCATCCAGAGGCACCTCAGGAGTAAGGCCTAGTGATCTGCTTCTGAAAGGTCACAGCCTTGAAAACCTTGGAGTGCCATTCTGCTCTGCACACATTAGGTTACCATGAGTCGAAATTGACTTGACAGCACCTAACAACAACAATAGTTTCAAATCTCAGGGCATAAGATGAATTACTCAGCAATCAGTGTGACAACTTGCCATTACTAAATGACTGACTGAATAAAAGTATAAACAAACAAATTTGAGGAAGAGATGTGTCCCCTTTAGTGTATGGGGTTCCTCTCTCCCTCCCCCAATTCCTCAAAGTCTAGATTATACCAGTTGCTGTTGAGTTGATTCCAACTCATGGTGACCCCGTGTGTGTCAGAATAGAATTGTGTTCCTTAGGGTTTTCAGTGGCTGATTTTTCAGAAGTAGATCACTAGACCTTTCTTCTGAGGCACCTCTGGGTAGACTTGAACCTCCACCCATTCGGTTAGCAGCTGAGTGCTTAACTGTTTGCACCACCTAGTCTACCATTAGAAGTCTGGTTCTGATTTAATTCGTCTGGGTTGGGGCCTAGGTATGAACACTTACTAAAAGCTCTCTCGGTGATTCTAAGGTGCAAGCAGAGTTATGAACTAGTGAACTAAAAGGTTAATAGTCATAAAGAGGACCAGACAGAAAGAATTACACTGCTGGAAAAGGAGATATGCTTACAGGCGTGCTGGCACGTGACATTTTAGGCCTCCTTTTCTCTGCTGGAGCTACATGCCTGCTGTCCTCTCCCCTACAGGTGGCAGCATCTCCTTCCTGAAAGAATATACACGTTGTTGTTTTTTAAAATTAGAAGTACTTTAGGGGTGAAATAATGCAAAATAAGACCTTCTGAGTTAAAAAAAAGTCCAGTAGAAGAGGTGATAAACTCCAAGCACTGTCCTTTCTCCTGCCAATAAAGAAAAATATTATTATGTAACCCAAGCACTTTGTCAAAATAACTATTTAATTTCATTTTATAAATGATAGTAGAGAACTGTACTTTGCCACTTTGGTGTTTATTTTTCCATGGCCAATATGGAACAATCTGGCTTTAAAGTAACTATGAGAACACAACCTGAATTCATTTGAAATTAGTTAGAAATCTTAGATCTTCTAAATATATAAAATACAAAAAAGTGCTCTTAATTGTCTAAAATTATGTTTGGGAAGCATTACTGCCCCCTGGAAGGTCGAAAGAGCCCCGTGTCACAGTTTATGTGTTGACTGAAATCCTTGCTCAGCCAGGAACAAAGCTTATCAGCGTAACACTTGGCTTTAGTGATCATTTCCTCCTCTTGTGTTGCTAAAAGGTCTGTCTGATGCAATGGGAGAGAAATAATTGATCAACAACACTCTCCATATTCCAGTTCTCAGAATATGTTTGGGGATTAGTGTTGGTCCATAAACCATTTATTGTTGTTGGTGTGTGCCATCAAGTTGATTCTGACTCTTAGCCACACTACAGAACACGGTAGAACTGCCCCATAGGGTTTCCTAGGCTATAATCTTTATGGGAGCAGATAGCCAAGTCTTTTCTCCTGTGGGGCTGCTGGTGGGATTGAACCACTGACTTTTTGGTTAGCAGCAGAGCGCTTAACTGTTGAGCCACCAGGGCTCCTTAAACCAGTTGTTGTCATTGTTAGGTGCTGTCGGGTCAGTTCAGACTCATAGGAACCCTATGTACAACAGTACGAAACACTGCCAGGTCCTGTGCCAGCATCACAATCGTTGCTGTGTTTACACCTATTGTTGCAGCCACTATGTCAATCCATCTTGTTGAGGAACTTCCTCGTTTTTGCTGACCCTCTACTTTAGCAAGCACAATGTCCTTCTGCAGGGACTGGACCCTCCTGATAACATGTCCAAAGTACATGAGACGAAGTCTCGCCATCCTTGCCTTGTTACTAGCCCACAATTAAGTGACGCTTAAAAACTTGCATAGCAAATTGACATTGTCTGGACATATTTATTGTCTTTTACAAAACGTATTGGACTACAGTGGATTGAGAAAACAGCAGAAATGGTCCTTCCCCACAGATATGTCAAGAAGCACTGTTCCACTTGAGGAGGATGCAATTTTAAAGAAACCATCTTTCTTTTTACATTTATTTTCTCTGTTTCAGGGATTTTGTGTTGGAAGACATGGATCTTGCCGCCAACGAGCTCAGCATTTATGACAAACTTTCAGAGACTGTTGATTTGGTGAGGCAGACAGGCCATCAGTGTGGCATGTCCGAGAAGGCAATTGAAAAATTTATCAGACAGCTGCTGGAAAAGAATGAACCTCAGAGGGGAGCGCCCCAGTATCCTTTCCTTATAGCTCTGTATAAGGTAAAAATATGTTCTGACTTGGAAATAGCTTAGACAGAGCACAAACTCTTCAGCATTCTGCCCAGATATTATCACTGACTGATTCCACCACTGAACTTTGTGTTTTCTGTGAATAAATTGTCCTTCGCTCTTATTATCATGTGTTACTAGGAAATTTGACTATTTGGTTCAAGGTCCTAGATGAAAGCTGTGTATTTATAATTAAAATATATTTGTGCATGTTTTTTTAATGGGGGACATATCCCCTGATAGTATGATAGAAGCTTGGTGAGCCTTGCAGTCCTCGTAGTTCTCAAACATTAGATGCTTTCAGACGTGAATGTGAATGGCTTGTTTATGAAAATGAATTAGTTCTTAAGGCACATTGGGAATAGCAGAAGAGGACTGTTCCCCCACCCTCCCTTGGTATTATGGTGTTTTGTTTGCTGGGATAGTTATTAATCCTTTTCTTATCTTTCCTTGTAGGTCCTTGTGACCCTGGGATTAATCTTGCTCACTGCCTACTTTGTGATTCAACCTTTCAGCCCATTACCACCTGAACCAGTGCTTTCAGGAGCTCACACCTGGCTCTCACTCATCCATCACATCCGGCTGATGTCCTTGCCCATTACCAAGAAGTATATGCCAGAAAATAAGGGAGTTCCTCCACATAGGGATGATGAAGACAGGCCCTTTCCAGGTAGAATGCCACAATTACTACTTACAAGATACAACTTTCTTCACAGTATACGATGGGAAAGGAAATAACATTTATTGACATCTAATGGAAGGCATTTTCCTGGGCTTGTCTCATTAAATTTAGTCTTCACTAAAATTCTGTGGGATAGGTTTTATTATCCCGATTTTGCAGATTGAGAAGCTGAGGCTCAGAGAGGTTAAGAGATAAGCCAGAGAGACACATCTTGTGGAGCCAAAATTCAAACCTCTTGATTCAAAAACATGTAGGGTGGGGATGAGAATGTTTGCCTATAGGAAGGATTTGACTCTATCTTAGTCTACCTTTTTCTCTCCTGTGATTCCTATCCATACTAGGTATTTTATAAATCACTATTGATTTATTGAAAACATCTGAGTCCAGCCTCTTTTAACCAGATCTTCTATCAGTCCTTAGCCCATTGGGCTAAGTTTGTGTGTAGCTGTATATTCTACTCCTCCAATTTAGTTTTTTCTCTCTGTATCATAGTTCATTTAGTGCTCATAAGTGTATTAATTTTGCCAATAAGTTGAATTTAAGAAACAGGTTTCTAGTAACAGTGCATCAGTGCCATCACAGGAATTCCTAGTCTGACAGATCATTTGAGGGGTTTCTTTTTGAGAATAGTGTAATATGCGGTAAGATGAGTCAGCCCTCGACTCTTGGCAGCGCCATATACAACAGAATGAAATGCTGTCCGATCCTATGCCATCCCCAAGATTGGTTGCAGATCTGACCATTGTGATCCATAGGGTTTTCATTGGCTGATTTTTGGAAATAGATTGCCATGTCTTTCTTCCTAAGAGAAAGAATAAACCAAACCAAACCCATTGCCATCAAGTTGATTCCAACTCACAGCGACCCTATAGGACAGAGTAGAACTGCCCCATAGGGTTTCCAAGGCTGGAGATCTTTATGGAAGCAGACTGTCACATCTTTCTCCCGTGGAGCAGCTGGTGGGTTCAAACTGCCGAACTTTTGGTTAGCAGCCGAGTGCTTAACCATTATGCTACCAGGGCTCCTTAAGAGAAAGAACAGAGGGATATTATTTTGAGGTTTTTTTCTTTTTGGTGGTAGTATTTATCTTCTTTATCAATATGGAAGAATATGTAAATTAATATCAGAAATGGCTTGTAGAACTTTTTGTATAGCTGTGTTCTGAAACCTTTAGGATCCAGCATAACTGTTGAGGAAATATGTTTTCTTTTCAGTAGTGTTTCAGAAAAAATTTGCTAGCTGAAGCTAAGCTTTATAATCATAATGCCATTCTTTAAGCCAAGACCTAATCAATCATAAGAATCATCACTTGGATCGAGTTGCCTTTGAAAGCTTTTTTTGTACACTCGAGAAAGTCATGGAAAGATTTCCAAAATATATCAGAATCAGAGGAAAGTAACATTGTAAAACATTCTAAAACAAAACTCGTGAGTTTTTTTTTTTGTTTTTTTTTTTAAATCAACAGATCATATATTTAGAGTTTTTTATTCCAGATAAAACTTCCTTGTATCTGTTGGGAAAGTTGTTTTTGAAATGTCACCAGCAGAGCTCAAAAAATGAACTTTTCAACTCCAGCAGGAAGGTCCAGAGCATCTGCGGGCAGGCGCCAGAGAAACTTGTCTCCTTTCCTGCCTATCTTCTCCTCACAGCCTCCTTGCACATGGGAGGAATTAAACCGTTTTTAGGACCTGGTTAATGTCATTTACTTTCCTTCCTCCCATCCTACAAAGTACATCTCCACAGACTATTGAGTTAAGAAATGAAAGACAGCCAATGGATAGTGCTTGCTCCTTCTCTAAATCAGAGTTTAAAATTCAAGAAGCATTAATGTCTTGTCTACAGGCCAGGTTATTTGATCCACTCCAAATTAATTTTTTGCCTTGCAAATGAAAATAAAATGAGTCCTTGGAGTTAAGTCCCAAAGAGAAAGCATTGGAGGGGTGTGGTTTTAGCTATTTAATGTTGTTAATTCTGTTACAGTGCTGTTTTTCACTTGTAAATATGGATATTTATGTACCATGTTTTCCTAAGTGTGATAATTCTAGGAAGCTGTGGATAGGTAAAACTAAGAGCCTTTTGCATAGCATTTGAAAGGAAACAAACTTAAGAACACATCATCATATAAGGGGTAAATAAAAACACGTTGGGGAGAATTAGGTACAAGCAAGTTCAAACTGCTGGGCCTGTGAGAGAGCGGGAAACGTAAAAAATATAAATATCTTTCTTAACGTCCTGGTACTAAAAACAACTGTCTTCAAATTAGGATTACTTTGAGGCAGTTCTCCTTAGTCATAGAGTTGCTATGAGTCAGAATCAACTCGACGGCACACAACAACAGCAATGTCTTTAAAGTAAATATCAGGGGAGGATGGTGTGGCAGATTCAGCTCCCCAAAGGAAACCCCATGAGCATATTGTTTTCTTAAGGACTGGCCTGTCCACAGCTTCCCAGGGTCACCTGACCCTCCTTGCAGTGGGGCCTTGGCAGTGATAAAGGGAACTGGAGCTGGGAGGCTGTGCCAGAGGCACCACCACCAATGGTGGTGTTTCCTCCTGACCCTACTCCACCTCTTTTTCTAGTTTCCAGCCTTGGGTAGTGTCTTAATTATCTAGTGCTACTATAACAGAGCTTGGCTGCTAACCAAAAGGTCAGCAGTTCGAATCCACCAGCCACTCCTTGGTAACCTTACGGGGCAGTTCTGCTCTGTTCTGTAGGATCGCTATGAGTCAGAGTCAACTTGATGGCAATGGGTTTGGTTTGGTATGAATTTTTTTTTTTTTTTTTGCATTATGCCAGGCACTGTTCTTGACAGAGCAGTGAACAAAACAGACCAAACCTTCTGCTCTTGTGGAGCTAGTATTGGCTTTGTTCCTTTCTCTCTTTCCTGTCGTTTTTACCCAAAATGGTTTTTTTGTCCTAGAAAGATTTTTTTTTTTTTTTGCTTTTTGCCAGGTTGATAATCTGTGTAAAAAGACTTTCCTCACTTAAAATTCCAGAGTGCGTTACAGTTGTCCACAATGAACCGGCCTAAGTGAGTTTTCTTTGTAAACAACCCTCAGGCCCCAGGAAGCCTCCTGCCTGTCGGCCTTGGCCTACTCTGGCTGTTCTGCTGAGCGCCCAGTATGCCGAGAAGGGTGGACAGTTGCAGTCTCTTGACTTCAGGCCATGTTGTGTCTGAGAGATTGTTTTTGACGTCTCAAACAGTGAAATGAATTCCAAACCGTGATGGGAATTTGGAATACAGATTATGGGCTTTATTTAACTCTTATATATGGAGTTCCTCCTCTGTGTCGCGGCCTTTCTTATATTAAGTAGCTGGTATAGGAGTTAAGGAAACCTTGGTGGTGTAGTGGTAAAGAGCTACAGCTGCTGACCAAAAAGGTTGGCAGTTTGTATCCATCAGGTGCTCCTTGGAAACCCTATGGGTCAGTTCTACTCTGTCCTGTAGGGTAACTATGAGTCAGAATCGACTCTACGGCAATGGGCTTGGTCATAGGAGTCAAGAAGCCTTGATAATAAAAAGAAAGACAGGAAGTTGATAACCAAGTTCCAGCAGCCTTTCTGCCTGGCGGTGCAGGAAGAGTGGATAGCTCTTTTGTGAGGAGCTACAGCATCCTTTAGGGAGTTGAAGAAAAGTTGTGGATTAGTGATGGCATAGGAAAGTCAGGCTGCATGCTGTTGGCTATTCCAGGGTGGGATTTTACTCACTCTGGGGCATTATGACTCCAAGACCATAATATAGAGAACATAACATACATAACCTTCTCAAGTTGACAGAGGCCACACTGGAGTCTGGCCACACCTTCCTCCTGGAGGCTCGTGGTGAGCATTGTGGGAGGAGAAGCCCCTATCCAGGAGAGGGTTGCAGCAGTAGGCTTCTGGTTGGTAATCTACCTGCAGGCCAAGACAGGCTGAGAAGGGAATGAGGCAGCTGACTCAAGGGATCTCAGGTACCATCTGCAAGAGATGGAGGGTGCTTGGAGGGTATTCAGGAGACTGTTTGCTAAGAAGAAACATAGTCCTTCCCTAATGAGGATTTCTTAAGCCCCACTAGTACTGCCTTAAAGAAAACAAGAATAAAGTTGTTGCTGCTTGTCTTTGTTGCTGATGCCAACATCTACAGAAAGTGGTTTGTAGTTCAGAGTCAGCTTCCAACTGTGTTTATTGATTTAAATAATTGACTTTAATTCAGCCACATTTGGTTGTCTGTCGTCTTTTGCTGTAGGCTGTCTCCTGATTGGTTTTCATTGGGTTTTAGTCAGAGACCATCTTGTGAAACATTTTGGATTCAGATTCTAGTTTAACACATCTGTCAGAGAACACAGATGAAACCCAGAACAGAACAGAAAGTAAACAAGAAATAATGCAATAACATGATAAGTGGGATGGTGTCAGAGGGAAGGAACAGAGGGAAACTGGGAAAGGCTGTGTAGAAAGAGGAACCCCTCAGAGAGGGAGCCAACCCAGGAGACGGTGTCAGGAGATGGCTGGCACTCACATCAGGGTTTACGTGCAGTGTTCTTCCATTTCTGATCAACTTGTGGTCCATGGTGGTAGAAACATCAGTTAATGACCCTCACCTGCTTTGGCGCTAGGGCAGATGCAGTTCACTTTACCCCAAAGATGGGCGCCTGAAAAGTCCCATCTTTCTTCTACGTCTCTTCTCTCTCTGTGTACACTCTTCTCACTTTTCCTTCCCAGAGCTGTCCTGGCCTCTGTCAGCATACTTGTGAGCCAAGGGTCTAGGCACATGCCTGGAGTGTGTGAGAAGACACACCACAAGGTTCACAGTGACTGTGGGACCACACTTTCTAGCTGCCCCACCCTCGTGTGCTGTAGGCATTTCAAACATGTGGATCACAGGTTAGAAAACAGGAAGAGCTGCATCTCCAACCTCACGTTGTTGAATGTTTTTTCCAACTGTTAAACACTTTATTTGTTTATTTGATTTAGGGAATACATGCACATGTTAAAAAAAAAAAAATTCTCTGTAAAGTGTGAAAGCGTACACAGAGAAAAGTACCTCTTCTTCCCACCTCTGTCCCCTGGGCCCTCTGCTCCTCCCCTCAAAGGCTACTTATTTCATATGTATCTTTTCTCAGGTCATCAGTGTGTATCCTTGTTAGTTTTTACAAATTACAATAATATTTTTCTTTTCAAGTTTCCTTGTTGGAGCTACTGGGTTTATAAGCTGTGTTCTTCCTGTATCTGCTTTCTCCATATCCCTTCCTCTCCCAGAGTTTGACCCCTGGTCAACAAATGACTGTGAGCAAAATGAGTCAGACCCCATCCCTGCCAACTGCACTGACTGTACCCAGAACTTACCGCTCAAGGTAATGCTCCTAGAAGATACTCCCGAGAGGTTTGAGCAACTCCATCCTCTGGTGATCAAGGTAAGCACGCCTGATTCTCCCACTGTTTGATTACCTGTTTAAAGGCTAGGAAACATCAAGCTCTATGAAATTTCTGATAACTAACCCAGTGTTGTTTTATTTTGCTTTGTTTTCTGCCTTTCCAAGACGGAACAGCCTCTGTTGTCTGAGGAGCTTCAGCATTTTTTGTGTCGATACCCTGAGGTTGCAGAAGGCTTCACCGAAGGGTTTTTCACCAAATGGTGGCGCTGTTTTCCTGACCGGTGGTTCCCGTTTCCTTATCCATGGTGAGCATAGAAAGGGGCTCTTATCCTGAGTGTAGGAAGAGGGCAGACCAAATGTTAACACAGTGATAGCTACCACTGAGACCATAATGTGCTCGACACTACGTAAGCACTTTACCATGCCCACTTTAAGTCAAATGGTCCCCCAGAGCTCACTATTGAAAACAAAAGATGCACACAAAGGAGACGGATGGAAAAGGTGTGTCAGGAGGAGGGGTGGGATAGGTCGCCATGGGCAGACACCAGGATTGCCTAATAGAACCATAATATATTTCTAAGTATGTGTTTAGCATTTATGTTTATGCAGAACTGGTCCTGAGCATTAAGGAGTAAAGAGAGAACAAGACAAATAGAAGGAAGACTACATTTCTGGCACTTGTTTGCACCAGGCACTGTGCCTTGGTGCTTGATGTCTCTTGTCCATTGGTGATGCTCATAATAGCTCTGGAAAGTGGGAATTATCATTCTCATTTTTCAGATCAGAAAAGTGGGTATCAGAGAGGGTAAGTCACTTGTCCAAGGTTACCCAGCAGGATCGAAACCCAGATCTGTCTCCCTGTTCCTTCTTGTGTCCTGTAGAAGGCGTGGTCTGTTCCTTGGGGTCAGGTTGCTCTCCAGAAAGTAAAGGAAAGCTAGCTTCCATCTGCAACCATTCTAGAGTTAAAATTGGTTATTTAGGCTTTTGTTGGAACTTACTGATAATTTTTGATGCTTCCATCTGTTTTTAAATTTGCCATTTTATTTACATGAATGACCATCCAGTTTAACAAGGTAATCAGGCCCCCCATTGCCATACCACTCTGCCTCAGAAGAAGGTTTAAGTTTTTTATCCTCTCTTTTTCTCTTCTTCTTTGTCCCCTCCTAGCCTGTTATTTCTTCAGCCTGTTTTTCAAGATGGGATGAATAGATTGTTTCCTTCCTGTACGTGTTGTTTTAGCTGGGCTTTATAAACATCCCAACCAGGTGTACACCACCACACATCTGTCGGTGTATCATACTGTGGTGGCTTGTGTGTTGCTGTGATGCTGGAAGCTATGCCACCAGTATTTCAAATATCAGCAGGGTCACCCATGGCAGACAGGTTTCAGTGGAGCTTCCAGACTAAGACAGACTAGGAAGAAGGACCTGGCAGTCTCCTTCTGAAAAAATTGGCCAGTGAAAACCTTAGGAATAGCAGCAGATCATTGTCTGATATAATGCTAGAAGATGAGCCCCTCAGTTTGGAAGGCACTCAAAATACGACCGGGGAAGAGCTACCTCCTTAAAGTAGAGTCGACCTTAATGATGTGGATGGAGTAAAGCTTTTGAGATCATTTGCTGATGTGGCAGGACTCAAAATGGGAAGAAACAGCTGCAAACATCCATTAATAACAGGAACATAGAATGTACAAAGTATGAATCTAGGAGAATTGGAAGTCGTCAAAAATGAAATGGAACGCATAAAGATTGCTATACTAGGCATTCGTGAGCTGAAATGGACTGGCATTGGCCATTTTGAATCATATGATCTCCTATCCCAGGAATGACACGTTGAAGAGGAGTGGCGTCACATTCATTGTCAAAAAGAGCATTTCCAGGTATATCCTGAAGTACAACACTGTCAGTGATAGGATGATATCCATACGTCTACAAGCAAGACCAGTTAATACGACTGTTACTCAGATTTACACACTAATTAGTAATGCCAAAGGTGAGGAAATTAAAGCTTTTTACCAACTTCTGCAGTCTGAAATTGATCAAACATGCAATCAAGATGCATTGATAATTACTGGTGATCGGAATGTGAAAGTTGGAAACAGAAGAGGCATCACTAGTTGGAAAATATGGCCTTGGTGATAGAAATGACACTGGGCTGAGGGCTGGGGACCATGGTCTCAGGGGACATATAACTCAATAGGCATAACGTAGTCTATAAGGAAAATGTTCTGCATCTGACTGTGGTGAGTGGTAACTGAGGTCTTAAAAGCCTGCAAGCGGCCATCTAAGATAAATCTACTGATCCCATCACAGCTGCAGAAGAAGAGAATGAAGAAGACCAATGACACAAGGAAAAGATTAGCCCAAAGGACTAATGGACCACAACTACCACAACCACCACCAGACTGAGCTCAGAACAGCTAGATGATGCCTGGTTATCACCACCGACTGCTCTAGCGGGGATCACAGTAGAGGGTCCCAGACAGAGCAGGAGAAAAATGCAGAACAAAAATCAAATTCACACACACACACACATACACACACACACACATACACATACAAAGACCAGACATGCTGGTCTGACAGAGACTGGAGAAACCCCAAGAGTATGGCGCCCGGACACCCTTTTAACTCAGTACTGAAGTTACTCCTGAAGTTCACCCTTCAGCCAAAGATCAGACAGGTCTGTAGGGCCAACAATAACATACGTGAGGAATGTGCTTTGTATTTCATGTATACAAGGCTAATGGGCATACCAGCCCAAAAGCAAATACGAGACGGCAGGAAGGGACAGGAAAACTGGACAAATGGAAACAAGGAACCTGGGATGGAGAAGGGCAGAGTGTTGACACATTACGGGATTGGCAGTGTCACAAAGCAATTTGTGTATTAACTGTTTAATGAGAAACTATTTTGCTCTGTAAGCTTTCACTTAAATCACAATTAAAAAAAAAGAAACAACACTGGAGATTGCATGATAAAATTTTACAAGACCAATAAGTTATTCGTTGCAAATACCTTTTTTCAACAACATAAACAATGACTATACACGTGGACCTCACTGGATGGAAAACACAGGAGTCAAATCGACTACATCTGTGGAAAGAGACAATGGAGAAGCTCAATATCATTAGAACAAGGCCAGGGGCCAACTGCAGAAACAGACCATCAGTTGCCCATATGCAAGTTCAAGTTGAAGCTGAAGAAAAAAAATTAAGTCTGCAAAAGCCAGAATATGACCTTGAGTATATCCCACCTGAATTTGGAGACCATCTCAAGAATAGATTTCAGGCATTGAACATTAATGACTGAAGACCAGATGAGTTGTGGGATATCATCAAGGACATGATACATGAAGAAAGCAAAAGGTTATGAAAAAGATAGGAAAGAAGAAAAAAGACCAAAATGGATGTCAGAAGAGACTCTGAAAGGTGCTGGTGAATTAAAGTAGCCTAAGCAAAAGGAAGAAATGATGAAGTAAAAGAGCTGAACAGAAGATTTCAAAGAGTGGCTCGAGAAGACAAAGTATTATAATGACATGTGCAAAGACCTGGAGTTAGAAAACCAAAAGGGAAGAAGACCCTCAGCATTTCTCAAGCTGAAAGAACTGAGGAAAAAATGTAAGCATCAAGTTGCAATATTGAAGGATTCTTTGGGCAAAATATTGAATGACACAAGAAACATCAAAAAAAGATGGAAGGAACACACAAAGAGTTATTGAACTAAAAAGAATTGGTCGATGTTCAACAATTTCAGGAGGTAGCATATGATGAAGAACCAGTGATATTGAAGGAAAAAGTCAAAGCTGTGCTGAAGGCATTGGCGAAAAACAAGTCTCCAGGAATTGAGAGAATACCAACTGAGATGTTTCAACAAATGGTTGCAGCACTGGAAGTGCTCACTTGTCTATGCCAAGAAATTTGGAAGACAGCTACCTGGCCAACAGACTTAAACAGATCCATGTTTGTGTCCATTCCAAAGAAAAGTGATCCACCCGAATGCAGAAATTATCGAATAATATCATTAATATCTCATGCAAGTAAGAGTTTGCCAAAGATCATTTAAAAACGGTTGCAGCAGTACATCAACAGGCAACTGTCAGAAATTCGAGCCGGATTCAGAAGAGTACATGGAACGAGGGATGTCATTCCTGATGTCAGACAGATCTTGGCTGAAAGCAGAGAATACCAGAAAGATGTTTACCTGTGTTTTATTGACTACGCAAAGGCATCCAGCTGTGTGGATCATAACAAATTATAGATAACATTGCCAAGAATGCAATTCCAGAACACTTAATTGCGCTCATGCGAAACCTGTACATAGACAAAGAGGCAGTTGTTCGAACAGAACAAGGGGATACTGCGTGGTTTAAAATCAGGAACGATGTGTGTCAGGGATGTATCCTTTCACCATACTTACCTGTATGCCGAGCAAATAAACTGAGAAGCCGGACTATATAAAGAAGAACACAGCATCAAGATTGGTGGAAGACTCATTAACAACCTGTGATATACAGGTGACACAACCTTGCTTGCTGTAGTGAAGAGGACTTGAAGCACTTACTGATGAAGATCAAAGACTATAGCCTTCAGTATGGATTACACCTCAACATAAAGAAAACAAAAATCCTCCCAACTGGACCAATAAGCAACATCATGATAAACAAAATATTGAAGTTGTCAAGGATTTAGTTTTACTTGGATCCACTATCAACGCCCATGGAAGCAGCAGCCAGGAAATGAAACAACATTGCATTGGGCAAATCTGCTGCAAAAGACCTCTTTGAAGTATTGAAAACAAAGATGTCACTTTGAGGACTGAGGTGCGCCTGACCCAAGCCATGGTATTTTCAGTCACCTCATATGCATGTGAAAGCTGGACAATGAGCAAGGAAGACTGAAGAAGAATTAATGCCTTTGAATTATGGTGTTGGCGAAGAATATTGACTATACCATGGACTGCCAGAAGAATGAACAAGTCTGTCTTGGAAGAAGTACAGCCAGAGTGCTCCTCGGAAGCAAGAATGGTGAGACTTCGTCTCACGTACTTTAGACATATTATCAGGAGGGACCAGTCCCTGGAGAAGGACATTGTGCTTGGTAGAGTAGAGGGTCATCGAAGAAGAGGAAGACCCTCAACGAGATGGATTGACACAGTGGCTGCAACAATGGGCGCAAACATAACAAGGATTGTGAGGGTGGCGCAGGACCAGGCAGTTTTGTTCTATTGTATGCAGGGTCGTTGTGAGTCTAAACCGACTTTATGGCACCTAACAACAACAGCTGCATGTACAGATCGTGGCTGTAGAGTTCATGTGTGTGCATGTACTATTCTTCATGGACCAAGTACTTAAGAAACTATACCTGTGTTTCCTCCTCTTTACCCACTACCCACCATTTTTCTGACCTTGTTTAGCTCTCTGTAAGTCATGGAACAGGCTGGCTTGCCCAGCTTAATTACTTTTTTCTGTTTCAAACTTTTACAGGAGAAGACCTCTGAATAGGTCACAAATTTTACATGAGCTTTTTCCTGTTTTCACCTACCTACCATTTCCAAAAGATGCCTCCTTGAAAAAATGCTTCCTTCTTCACCCGGAACCTGTTGTGGGGAGTAAGGTAGGAAATCTTAAGAGAACCTGGATCTAGAATTTTCCTCATTTGGGACTGGGCTGATGCCATAACCAAGGCCTCCCCTGCATATCGACTTAAAGGGTGAATTGAGAGGACACCTACATGTACAAAGGTCTCCCCCACTGCTGCTAGCCAGGAAACCTGCAGTGGACCACCTTTTTATGAAGGTGTACAGAAGGTCTGGTTACCTTGCAAATCTGTTTCCTGCCCTTAATACCTGGGGGCAAGCTACTTTTCTACATTAGAGGAAGTGGAATGCTAAAATTTTATTTTATTTTTTTATTGTACTTTAGATGAAGGTTTACAGATGAAGGTTCTCACTGAACAGTTAGTACACATATTGTTTTATGACATTGGTTAACAACCCCACGACATGTCAGCACTCTCCCTTCTCGACCTTGGGTTCCCTCTTAACAGCTTTCCTGTACCCTCTTGCCTTCTAGTCCTTGTCCCTGGACTGTTGTGCCCCATTAGTCTCGTTTTGTTTTATGGGGCTGTCTAATCTTTGGCTGAACAGTGACCCTCGGGAGTGACTTCATTACTGAGCTAAAAGGGTGTCCAGGGGTATGCTCAGGGTTTCTCCAGCCTCTGTCAGGCCAGTAAGTCTGGTCTTTTTTTGTGAGTTAGAATTTTGTTCTACATTTTTCTCCAGCCTCTGTCAGGCCAGTAAGTCTGGTCTTTTTTTTGTGAGTTAAAATTTTGTTCTACATTTTTCTCCAGCTCTGTCCAGGACCCTATGTTGTGATCCCTGTCAGAGCAGTCAGTGGTGGTAGCCGGGCACCATCTAGTTGTACTGGACTCAGTCTGGTGGAGGCTGTGGTAGTTGTGGTCCATTAGTCCTTTGGACTAATCTTTCCCTTTTCTCTTGTTTTCTTCGTTCTCCCTTGCTCCTGAAGGGGTGAGACCAGTGGTGGAATGCTAAAATTTGAAAGGACTCGAGAGTTGTTAGTCAAATTATTTTAGGAAGTAGGCAAGCTGTAAATCAACAGTATGTAAGTGAATAATCCACCTTCTTCATTTTGTAGATAAGGAAACCGAGCCCAGCTACACACAGCAAGTTAATTAGAGGGCTCCCCTTCACTCCTCACCCCCAGGTTGCCTTTCACCGGAACAAACAAATGAAGATACTTCTGGTAGAGAACTGGAAAAGCAAAAATCTTGGGAGTGTGGGGAGGATTTGGGACAGAAGGGTTGGTAGACACATGTCTGAAGCAGGTAGCACAGTCTGGTGGAAAGGCCCACTCAGCCTCCATCACCTCCCAGCTCGGTACTTGGCTAAGTGTTTACAGAGGAGAGGAGGGACCACAGGGCCTAGAGCTGGCAGGTACCTCTCTGGGGGCCAGCCGACTGGGTAACTCTTTTCTGTGTTTGTCTGTTTATTTTTCTCTGAAGTGCTCCTTGGTTGAATCTCATTCCTGAAGAAGATGTTTGAGCTTGGGTTGTTTTAGAAGAATTAAAAGGATGAATTTTCCTTTGTAAAAAATGTATATTTCCTGAACTGTGGCCCCTACCAACTCCGGGTTGTGGCTTCAGCCTCCTGATACTATTGTCTGGCTCCAAATTTGCTGAACAGTGTTGAAGGAATTTAAAAGTCTACAAAAGCAAACATTTTGTCTAGAAGTAAGAACTTCTGTCTGCCAGCAGTGGGGTGGAGGTGCTGGGCTTTTGCCTCAGATTATAAAGGAATTTATCCGGTTGTCCTGGGCTAGAGCTCAGGGCGCTAACATGATTTCATTGTCATAATTATAATTCTGGGCGAGGGCCTTTATCTTGATGCTCCTACTTGAATACTGAAGTTAATCTCACCAGCCTGTTTAACTGGGACACCAGTGAGCCCAGCCAAAGGGGTGAATACAGAGTCACTCAAACACCTATCAAAGTTATCTCAAGGATGTTTTGGGAAGGGGAGGGGCCCAAAAAAGCAAAACTCCTGAGAGTCTGCTTGGAGCATCTCTTGCCCCACCCTGGCCCAAGCTGTCCTTTCTCCCACCCTTGTTACCCAACCCTGCTGTCCACATCTCTGGCTTAGGTCCCTGGGAAGTCACGTGTTTTGGGGCCCTGTATGCAAGAGGCAGCCTTGGGATAGAAGATAGGAAGTGGACCAGGCTGTTCTGAGGTCCTGGGGGAAGAGGTGAGGGGCTGCAAGGCTCACTTCACCCACTCCGTGGTGTTGCCTAAGGCAGGCCTGCTCCATCCTGTTATCTGTTTCTTTCCATCCTGGGTGCCAAGTAACGTAGTCATGCCCCTCTCCGGCCCATAGGAAAGAGAGATATGTCCACTTTTTTTAGTTTTTTGGGGATTTTTTCAAGACTGCAGATGTCAGGGCCTCTGCCAGTGTTGCTACCAGTCAGCCGCAGGCCAGCTCAAGACACCCAGTCCTGCTGCTACTACAGCAGCAGTTGAAATGGCTCTAGTGTTGCCATGGCAGCAGCAGCATGGCCAGGGCCTGTGGGAGCAGCAGAGAGATGGGGTTGAGAACAGGGAAAGAGAAGGCCAAAACCCAAGGCTCTGGAGGCCCTGAGTGGTGGAGAGGAAACCAGGGGCCCAGGAAGCCAGGCTTCTGACCCCTGCTGCAGTTGATGTGGCTGCCCTAAAGGGCAGGAGCTGGGAGAGGAGGGAGAGGCAAGGCACTAGGGTTTTTCTCTTACCATCTGGGTAGGGAGAGAAGCCCAAGTAAGACCCGTCTTTTATCCTTACTGCCTACCCTGCCCCCGCCCCAGGGTTCATCGCTCCTTGCCTGGCATGCTGGAGCTTGCACTTAAAGCCTGTTGGTGGCAGTAGTATACCCTCCAAGGTGCAATAATTACCTACCGAGGTGCATATCCTGGTTGTCTTCTTAGTTTTCAAAATCAGAAGGCAACATGACTGTCATTAGGTTTTAATCAGTAGCATGGCATGTTTGTTTAGCCGACTTTTGCCAGCAAGTGTAAACTTGAACTTGCTGCTGTTCAATTCTTATCAAAACCCTGGTAGCAAATGATGTCCATGGAAAATCATGCAAAGGAAACGCAGGCCATCAATTTCTCTAAAAAGTCTGGATCAAACCAAGCCCTCAGAGAGTGCATACCTAGACTACCACTTGTTGGTCTCTTCTGGAACCTCTTTTGCTAATTGCAGAACTAGGCATTTTTGCCTTTGCTTACTTTGAAGCCGTGGCTAGAAATAGTTGCAAATTATGAAGCTCATTATCTGCTATAGGGCTGTTGTTGAGGATGTCGCCTACTCAGTCACCATGTCTCTTTAGGAGAACCCATAGAAGAGATTTTACCCTGGTCTCAGTACCAGGAGATGCCATGCTTAGGAGAAACTAGTTTGTTTTATCTTTTGAACATAACTGAATTGTGCTGTTGGTTCTATTTTCCTCTTTGCTTAGGCTGCTAGGAAACTCACAGCCACATGTGTAAGGATTTTTGTGTACTAATCCCCCACTGAACCCCAGATTTTATTTTGCTGTCTTTCCCTTCCTTTTTCCCCTGCTGTTCTTTCCTACAGACACACAGAATGCACGAGCTGTTTACCATTGTCAGTGGTGAGGCCATGTTGCAGCTCATCCCTCCCTTCCAGTGCCGGAGACACTGCCAGTCCATGGCGATGCAGCTAGAGCCAGGGGATATCGGTATGTAGGACCCCAGGAGGGCAGGGTCGACCACAGGATCTTTTTAGTTTTTAACTCAGAAAATATTCTGAGCATCAAATATTGCCTTCCCAAAGGTTCAATGAAGTAGAGTCAAAAACAACTTTTATTATCAGGGTCTGTATTTGCTCTTAAAAATGGAGCAACCAATGAGAACATGTAGCAGAGAGAAATTTCTTGTTGTACGTACAACATCTCGAATGTACATGCCCATTGGTCATAGAAACTTTAAGTTAGGATTCTGGCAGATATGTAGACCAATCCCTCTGTTTACAGATGAGGAAATTGAGGTCCAGAGAGGAGAGGTGACCATGCCAAGGCCCCACTGTCAATCAAACAAGACAGCAAGTCTTAATTGTCTACTTTCACAGAATCAAGCCAAGAAAGGGGCAGTTCAAGATTAGAGCAAACTCTTTATATGCCCATTTTGCCCATAAAACAAGACGAAAAGTATATACGGCAACAGCGCCCAAGGAAATGCTGCCTTCGACATGGATCCCACGGCCAAGTTGCAGCCTATGTTGATGACTCACCCTGGACTCTGGCTCCATGTTTTCCCAGCGGTGACTTTTTCTGTGCCTAATAGTCTAAAAATCTGTTCCAAAGAAACAGGTTCAAATCAGCTGCTGTCAGTAGCAATCAGTGGGTCAGCAGAGTTTTCTTGGCTGAAACAAACAAATCAGCAAGTGTCACCACTGACCTCCTTGTTTTTCCTGCCTCACAGAACCTTAGGGCAGCCTACAATCCCTGGCAAAGCCCAGACTGGTTTTCCAATTGATTTCTTTTAATTTTAACCCCTCAGATGACCCCCTAAATCCCTAGAAACCTCTCACCTCATTTGGCGGTAGGGGGTGGACTGCAAACTATGCCAAGCTTTAAGTTACATAACTTTATTTCAATTTAGAAATGAAAAATAAAAATAATGCACAAATTAAACATTAACTGATAAATACAGGCAGTCCCCAGGTTACTAACGAGATCCTTTCCTAAGTGTGTCTTTAAGAATTTGTAGGTAAGTCGGAACAGCTGCATACGGATCTTATTTAGCCTTACTTTAGTGCAAGAAAAGACTACAAGCCTTTTCAATGATTTAAAAGTTGCATGTGCGGCAAGTGAAGGTAATTGTGATGAAGAATTTGTTGTGAGCAGAGTAGGGGTTGGTTCAATTGTTTGAAAGTGAGGGCAAATTTACATAACATTAAAGGGCAAGTATGAGTTGTCTGTAAGTCTGATTCATTTAACCCTGGGACTTACTGAAATGCACAAATAAAGCAATAACAGCTGGCCTGGTCCTTGGGGAAAAAAGAATTCTTGTACAGAAATTCTTTGGAACTATTTTCCTGTAGTAGAATGGCCCTCACATGAGGAATGACTATTGCAAAACTCTGTATGGTATGTTTAGGTTTGGAGTGTGTAGTTGTACTGGAAAGAAGTTTCTGTCTTATGTTCTACAAATACCTAACCATTTCAGAAACTATAGAAACACCTCAGTTATCCAAATTCCAGATTTCCAGCTCCCACAAAGCATCCAGAATGCCAATTCTAAAATTAGCCGAAAAGAAAAGGAGTCTTTGGCAGTGATCAGAGAAGCTTTGAGCAGCCAACACTGGTGCAGATCATCCGGAAGAGCCTAAAAACCAGAAGATGATCCCTCCCATGCTTTGACGGGCTGGTTTGCTGGTGGAAGGAAAGGAGTCCCGGGATTGGCAGTGTCTGTCAAAGGCCAGCCACGTGACATGAGTACGGAGAAGGGACAGGAGACTGAATCAAAGAAGAGGAGGAGAGGGAGTCTGGGAGAATAACGGGGGTGGGGTGGAGAGAACAGTGGGCACCTGAAGCAGGGGCAGAAGTAGAAGTGATGGCCGGATGGCCACAGCTACTGCAGTTAAAAGTGAGGACAGGGAATCAGACCCTGATGGTGGGACGGTCCTGGAATAAGTCAGTGCTTGTAGAACAGATGACAGCTCCATTGCCTCAGGGACCCTTACGAATGGCACTTGACAAGTCCCATGTTTTCTGACAAAATATGCGTTGTCTTTGTGGGGGTTGAAGGGAGAGGGGACGGGTTAAAGATCGTCAGAAAACCTTTGTTGGGGGCTTTTTCAAGAATGATGTAGACCAATGCTGTTGGGCCTACACCACCTACCTGCAATTATTGTATAGCACAGTTGCTGTTCATAGTGCCCTTCCTTGAATCACCTGTAAAGGTTAAATTACATTTACTGCTATCAGTTTAAAGATAGGTAGGGAAGTATGATGTACTCTAGGAGAATTTCCATCAGGAGATTATTGAAATGCTCAAGTTTTCAAGTTTGTCTTCTTAGCCCACTGAAGTGATATAGGTCAGTGTTCCATCACTGGTTCTTCAGATCACTCCTGACCCCAGGGATGGGAACAGAAGCCCCTTGGAAAAGCCCTTGGCAAATAGGGTTCTTGAGTCAGTTGATGGGAAATGCCTGCCTTGTAGATGTTTTGTGCACATTCGTGTACCTAAGGCTCCAAAAAGCCTTGAGGAACCTAGTGTTCCTCATTTACTTGGCCATGGAATTCCTTTTCCTTGGAGTGTCTTATGAGACACCACTGTTTGCAGAACAGAATTTCAGAAATGCTGGTTTGGGTTAATCGGGATGTTCTGTAATGCACCCGCATTATAGATAACCTCAGGAGAAGTGGAAAGGGGGGTCCTGCTCCCCCTCAGAACCCATCCTGTCTTCTTGCTAAAAAAAGATGAGGTCAGTCAGAGAATGGATGCCCAGCCTCACCTAGACCATTTTGCCTTTGTAAACCGTTGCAGGTATGATTCCCAGTTGCCTAGGTGAGGATTGATGATAAAGCACCTTCGTTCAGAGTGGCTCCTGTTGGGTGTTAGGTTACAGAGAGGACTGGTACTAGCTAGGAATATTGATGTCAGGAAGAGCCGGATGAACTTCAAAGCAGGAATTGTCTTTTGACTGACTGCAGGTGCTCCTGAGGGCACACTCTGGCAGACTTGCTCTTGCCCACAACCGTCACCGCCCCTAACTTTAACGTGCTTTCCTGTTGCTGTTTCCCTTCAAGGCTATGCCGGTGCCACCCACTGGAAGGTCTACATTATAGCCAGAGGGACCCAGCCTTTGGTCATCTGCGATGGAACCACCCTCTCAGAACCGTAGGAAATAGAACTCTATACAGGAACAGCTTTGAGAGCTGAAGACCAGGCTGAAAGGGGGAAAATAAAAACGATGACACCACTCTCTCAGGGGTTGGTTCCTTATAGTAACCTGCTCTTTGCATGTGTGTGTGAGCCAACAGTATGTGGAGGCGGTGGCCAGGGACCCACACTCCCGACTTCATGCACGTGGCCCGGAAGGTTTCCCACCTGCACTACTTGGCCAGGACTCTGTCAGCACCCACCTGCGAGAGACTGGGCTCTTCCAGGCCCTTTGGCGTCGAGGCTGCCCCCCAGGCAGGGAATAGGGTCAGTGCCCTCTGTCACCTGCATGGGCATAATCCCGTCTGCTGGCTCCCTGGCCTCAAGAGAGGCAGCCAGCAGGTCCTGACTTCAGAGCCATCCTTTACCAGGTGGTCTTGCTTATCCCCCGTCTTCCTGGCCACATCATCCTGTACTTTTCTGGAAATCCATGGCTGCATAAATAAATCATTGCAGTTTCCCACACAAAACGCAGTCTAGAACCAGTGGAAAAGATGGAATAACTGTGCATTGTACTCAGAAGGGCACTTCTTTGCCGGTGTCCGTGGTGCTTGGAGGCTCAGTGATGCCGGGCTGAAATGGTAGTTTGAAATGGTAGTTCCTAAGGTAGTATTTTTCTCCATTTTATCAGGTTCTAATACCCCTGCCTCACTAGCTCCCCTCCTCCCTTGCCTGTCTGGTTGGTTTCTCAGACGTTCAGCTCCTGACCTTCCCTCCCTTGGCCAGGCGGAGCCCTGAGTGCTAAGGCAGCACTGCTCCTGCCCATTGTGCTGCCTTCAAAAGTGTCCTCAGAGGGGGATGACTTAGCTGGCTTGGGAGAGGGTGCCTCCCTGGGTTTGATCTTTAGGCTGCAGTTCTGCAGGGAAAAATGTTTCACAGATGTGTCAAACCGATGTTGTAATGTGGTTGGGGGAGGAACTC